GCATATACACTTCTTCTTCTAGGTCACCATTAAGAAAAGTATTCTTGATATCTAGTTGATGAAGACACCAGTCATGGTTTTCAGCCAAAGATAACAAGACTCTGATTGTGTTCAATTTTGCACATGTGCAAAAGTCTCTTGGTAGTCAATTCCATGAGCCATTTGCTACAAGTCGTGCTTTGAACTTGTCAATACTTTCGCCTGCTTTGTAATTTACTGTGAAAATCCACTTGCATCCCACTGGATTCTTCCCTTCTGGGAGTTTTGTAAGTTCCCATATGTCATTCTTTTCTAAAGCTCTGACTTCATCTTCAATGGTAGCTCTCCACTCAGGTACTTGTAGAGCTTCTTGGACATTATTTGAAATCTGAATATCAGTAAGATTTGCAACAAATGCACGATATCGTAATGACAAATTTTTATAAGAGATGAAGTTAAAGATTGGGTGGCTTGTGCATGATCTGGTTCCTTTTCTTTTTGCAATAGGTAAATCAAGATCATAATTCTCTACTTGATCAGACTTAATGAGATCGTTATTAGTGTTACCTGAAGGTGTTTCCTCTGGATTTGGATTCAGTTCATCTTCATGGACTGGTTTGGGATGTGTTTGGTCATCTATATCTTCTTGATTTCCCTTCTTTTTCCTAGAATAGACAATGACCTCGCTATTTTTCACAATTTGAGATTGAGTTGGTTGAGAAATGAGTGGAGTTGGAGTACTTGACTTGGCTTTAGAAGGATTAGACTTAGAATTTTGAGATTGAGTTAGTTGAGAAAAGAATGGAGTTGGAGTACTTTACTAAACTTTAGAAGGATTAGACTCAGAATTGATAAGGAGCATTTCGGATTCAGGTATCCTAATTGGTATATATCTCGGCTATGGGAACTATAGGTATCTCAATGTGTTATGTTTCCCAAGATTGATATTCCTGGATTCTATTCTCCCCTTGAATGTCATTTTTGGGATAATATGGCTGGTTTTCAAAAAAGTTTACATCCATTGTGTTGTAGAATTTTCTTGTGATGGGGGAGTAACACTTGTATCCTTTTTGATTCAATGAATACCCTAGAAAGATGCACTTAATAGCCCTTGGATCAAGTTTACTTTGGTTTGGTTGTTTATTGTAAACAAAGGCCATACAACCAAACACTTTTGGTGGATGAGTGGAAATTAGCTGGGTATGAGGATATGATTTGAGCAGGATTTGACAAGGAGTTTGGAAATTTAACACACGATAAGGCATTCTATTTATGAGATAAGTGGCAGCGAGAACAACTTCTCCCCAAAAAAAATTTTGGAACATTGGTGGAGAACATGAGTGATCTTGCAACTTCTAACAAGTGCCTATTTTTTCTTTCAACTACCCCATTTTGGTGTGGGGTATCAATGCATGAACTATTCCTTCTTTTAACAAGTAATTACCTAGAAAAGAATTGAAATAATCCTTTGCATTGTCGGTTTTCAAAACTTGTATTTTGACATGGAATTGTGTTTGAATCATGGTATCAAAATTTTTGAAAATTTGACTTACTTTAGATTTGTCTTTCATTAAGAATACCAAAGAAATTCTAGTATGATCATCAATGAATGAAAAAAAAACCATCTAGTGCCAGTAACATTTCTTATTCTAGATAATCCCCAGACATCACTATGAATCATTGAAAAAGGGTAAGATGATTTATAAAACTGAGTTGGGTAAGAGTTGTGAACTTGTTTAGATAACTGACATATTTCACATTGAAAATTCTTGGAATTATTCTTAAATAATGATGGGAAAAATTTTATAAGATACCTAAAATTAGGATGACCCAAATGATAGTGCCATAACATAACACTATTCTCATTATTTGGAACACAAACAGAAAAAGATATTTTTTAACACCTGTGGATTGAGGTTGTCTATCAGGAAAATCAGTGGTCTTGAGGATATAGATACCCGAACACATATCAGCACAACCAATTGTCTTCCCCAAATTCAGATCCTGAGAAACAAAATAATTTGGAAAAAAATTAGTAAAACAATTCTTATCCCGAGTGAGTTTACTGATAGATAGCAGATTACAATCAAAATTAGGAACAAAAAGAACAGATTCAAGGGGTAGGTCCTTGGAAATAATAATAGACCCAATGCCAGCTACATATGAGAGAGAACCATCTGCAATATGAACAGTGAAATTTCCAGTATAAGGTGTATAATTTTTAAACATTGTAATATCTCCTAACATGTGATCAGATGTCTAGAGTCGATAATCCAATAGTTTCCATGTTCTTTTCTTACATTTAAGGCTATAAGAAAGTTACCTTTTTGGGCCAAAGATCTAGATCCTAGGTCAGAATTGGAATTGGAAGATGATGAACCTTGTGTGGATGGAGTGATCGATTTTTGTAGAAGTTCCAATTGTTCCTTGCTGAATGGACTTGGGTTTGGATCTGTTGGTTTATCCTTAACTGAAACATGGTTGTTGTTTGAACTAGTAATTCTTTGACCAGTTGTGACTTCAGAGATATTCTCGATAGTTGCTTCTTTATCAATTGCCATTCCATAATTTGTAATGGAAGATTGAAAGAATGGTATTTAGGCTAAGAGAAGTTTCAGCAAGAAGAGCTGAGAGATTTCGGTAGAAAGAGCTCAGAGATTTCTGTAGGAAGAATTGAGAAAAGAGATGGCAGAGAGATTTCAACAACCTTGCTCTGATACCATGTAGATTTTTGAGAGAATAATTCTTTTTCTTCTGTGTTGATTATGGCTAGAAACAAACCAGCTATTTATACAAGCTTAGGAACAAACTAAAAAAGAAACAAATAAAAAATCCCCGATTTTAATACAAGAATCAAGGCTGAAGATACCTGATTTTCATACTAGAATCAAGGCTGAAGATCAGCAACAACAGCTGTAGTTACACAGGTGTAAATTAGATTTTGATTTTCTACAGACAATGATGTCAGGTCATAGAACTAAAAATTACAATTAATAGTGATTTGTGTGGTATATTATATGGACTAATTTAGGGGAAATAGGGAGGACAAAATGATCAAATTAGTAAAGACATATTGAATCCCAAAGGATAAGGAGAGATTCTAGGGAAGACTTTTCTACAGAAAAATTTGGTTTTTTTTTTTTTTTTAATAAAATTTGAGGGTAGGCCTATCCCTACGCCTACACTTAAAGGGGCTGGGTTCGCCCCTTTCACAAATCCATGCCAAAAACGACCTTATCGACACATGGCCAGATCCGGTCGGTTGTGCACTGTTCCAATGACTATCAATGGTGGTGGCTGGCAGTCCTCCTAGGTGGCTAGGGGTAGCTATGGTCTTATGTAATTTGCTTGAAGTACAAGGGTAAGTCTGTCTTAAAAATCTTGAGTATAAAGCTAAAATTGTCCATAAATTTATTGTAAATTGTTTAGGTAATAAGGGCATTACTGTCCTAAAATTTTATTAATAAGGGGTAAAATTGTAACAAAGTTAAGATTACTAAATAATCTTAAAATACTTAAGAAAATAGAGGTAATCAGATTACCTCTTATATAACTAATAGTAATTAATTATTATTATTGGTTTTGGAAGATTATTGAAATCTTATATTACTTGACAACCAAACGTGATAATCTAAGTAGTATAAGATGACATTACCTCAGTAATGGGGGATAACCCCAAATGGCTCAACCAAACACACCCTTAAATTAATGGTCATAAATTAAAAATAAACGAGTCAAATATGGAATAACTGTCTTAGAGAGGTTTTTTGGACAATAATTGACCTAAAAAATAACGTTGACAATAAAACATCATAGGTCGGTTACTTGAAATAACTTGATCCCCTCGGCTAGAAAATCCTGAAAATTTTCAGGGTTGGGGATGGGGCAGGGGCGTAGCCAAGATTTCTAGTCAATGGTGTCAAAAGATCAAAGCTGATAAATTTACAATAAAATATATACTAAAGTAATAAGCATAAAAAAAAAAATGTAATCTAAAAAATTAATTTTAAAAGTTATACATACCAAATTATCAATTCTATAATTATCCTCGACGATTTTTTATATTCTGAAAACATTGCAACCAAATATGGGTAGTTTTTTTTCTTGATTAATCCAACCAAAGGAAGAAGAAAGTATGAGAAAAGAGGAAAGGAACTGAGGAAGAGAGAAAACGTGAAAAAAATGAGTATTTTCGAATCTCGAGATCAATAAAATATGGAAATATCTTAGTGGAAATACTAAAATTTGAAAATTGTTAATTACTATAAAATATATACCTATTTTTAATCATTTCAAAATTTTAGTGTGATCAAGTGACCCCATTGAGTATATATTGGCTATGGGGGCAAATGATTCCCTTGGAACCAAGATTAGGGACGAGGATGTGTATAAATAAAAGTCCAAAAGAACACATATCTGCTTATTAAAAAATTATAAAAAAATTAATTATATATGATAAGTAAATTAAATACATATCACTAATTGCAAATAATAGTATTTTTCTTGTTTAAAAAAAAAAAGATTAGTAATCTAAATATTTCAGGTGTAGAGCCAACCATATATCTTTCTAATAGAATTTGGAAATTGCCAACCCTTTTTTTTTTTTTTTTAATAGCCTTTAAAATAATGAATAAAAAAATCAACAAAAATAAGTAATATAAAATTTCTGCTTCTGCCAATATTGGTGGGCATTAACCACCATTGGGTAATCGGGTGGAGCGATGAGAACTTTTGGGTGTATTATTCAAGAGGTCTTAAATTCGATATTCTCTTCGGTTACTAATAAGGGTGTCTACTAAAAGTTTATTCAGTTGTTAACTTTAGGACCCGAAAAAATAAGAATAATAATAATACTGGTGGGCATCTATCTGCCCCATCTGAGCAAACATATCTAAATATTAATTCTTTTTCTATTGATCTTAAAATTTATTAATTAAGGCATGCATGCATGTACAGCAGATTAATTAAGCAAAACATTTTTAATTACTTTATAAAAAAAGATGAAGTGACAAATTCTTCGTTACATATCTCTCAGAAAAAACTTACACAAACTAATTAACAACACTCATTAAAACAATATTAACATACAAATGGATCGCTCGATGCATGTGATGTTTGGTTGCAGAGAAAAAATGAGTCCCAGTTTCTCAGCTGAAGTACATGTTAGGAGATGCATAAATAGTGCTATGAAGAATTGTAGAATTATTTGGGGACCCTTTTTTCTTGAAGAACAAGTCTGTAACAAGAGGAACAATTGGCTTCTTCTTCATCATCTTGCCCTCCGATCTTCTCCCTCCAAGAAAACGAGCTGCATGAGCTTCAACATCAATATCGTTCTCTTCAACGCACAAAATTTGAGCCAAAGTCAAAGAATTCTCCTTCTTTCTCACTAACTCTCTCTTTCTCTCCTGATCTTCTCTTCTTCTATGGTATTCTATCGCCTTCTTCGCCACATCGGCTTCTGCCTCCGCCAACTTCGACATGTTCTTATGAAGCTCAGCATTCAAAGTCGCCAACGCAACTTCGGTTTCCGCCTCTCTTTTCTTCAGCAACTTCAACTCCATCTTTGTTTCCTCGAGCTCTGCCTCGAGTTTCTTCAAAGTATCCAATACTTCACCATTATTATTCTTTTCATTCTTTTCGTCATCAATAACTTCCCTAGGGTTTTGAGGGCTCGACGAATATTTCCATGGTGTAATTATCTCATGCTTTGTAGGAGGGCTGAAAGAGAAGCGTTTGGGAGAGTAAATTTCTCCGACGAGAAACCGCTCGCCGAAGACGGCAACAGCTTCTTTAACGGAGCGAAAAGGGCGGGAAGTATCGACATTGGAGCTGTAATTTTTGTGAATAGGGTTAAGAGAAAGAGCTAGGGTTTGAGGTTCCATGGGGGATGGAGAAGTGATGAATATTGGTGAAAAGAGAGAGCTAGGGTTTATTTTGATAATTGGTAGGTTTAGGGTTAGGGTTTCTTTGCTTTTACTTCAAAAGAGTACAAATGGGAAGGCTGTTGTTTCAAGCTTAAGACAAAGATCAACAGAAGGTTGGAGATAATGACAAGGACTTGTTAGCTACGGAATGTTGGTGTGTCACGTGCCCACCACACGTGTGTGTTAATGAAAATGATCAATTTATTACTAAAGTATAACTATAATTTACAATGACAGTTAACAGAAAGCAAGAATATACATCTTTACAGTGATGAAACTAAGAAAAATGCTCTTACCCACTTGCACATTATGACGACTGAACTTTTGGCTCAAGTGGTGGAGGCAAGTCCCTTTTTTTTTTTTTTCCTCTGATAAGCTGTGGGGCTCAATTTGGTCATGGTGAGAGAATGGCACTAGAAGCAAGCTGGGTATATCTCTCTAGTTTTGTTTTGGACCAAAGTTAATTGGGTGAACGATTTGTTGGGAATTTGGAAAAGACCCCATGAACGATCATTTCAAGTTTATCTGAAAGTTAAACATTTATTATGGCTTGTAAAATATGTCTCTGAAACTCAACTATATGATAGTTAGTTATGTCCGCCATTATCTCTCCATCTTGGTCTTGCTTTATTTTTTATTTATGTTGGAGGGTACTTGAAAGGATTATTAATTGGTGAAGCATGAATCGGATAGACGTCTTGATTATGCTTGATGTGAAATCTCTCTTTCAATAAATGCATGCTTCGCAACTTTCTTGTTTCTTCATCACGCGTGCTTCATTAATTCTTGTGGTAAAAGGCTTGAATGTATATGCATGTCATTGTCGTTTCTGTTAATTTCCTGTTTTCTCTTAAATACCCTCCAAAGAGTAAATCTTTGTGATACCAAACATTCAATTAACTAGTAGGTATTATATATAGCTTGTCTTCAAGGATTTACTTTTGGGTTGCATAGAGTTAATGCAAAAATTTATACAAACGAAAAGTACGTAAGATTCATTGTGAAATTTATGTAAGAGTTTGTATTAAACTCATGATTCTAATATTAGATCAATGAACGAAATAAAAGTATAAAAATAACACAAAAAATAGATTTATAAAATGATTCAGATGTTTGATGCAAATTCTACATCTACTATTTTTTTATATTGTTTTCTTTGCTTTTTTTGTCTATAAGTGCGGCTTGAATGAGCCTCCCTAATTAGGTTAAAATATAGGTTTATATAGTGTCACAACTTATAAGTGGAGTAAACATTGGTAGAATGACACGTACACTGGTTGACTTGTACTGAAGTAAGTCTTGATAGACTTGCAAGTGAAACCATTCTCATATGAGATGACACCTGGCCTAAAGTAAACTTACTAGTGAAATAAACTTCAAGTAAAGTGGCACGTCACATAAGTGAAGCTTATCCTCAAGAGACTTATAGATGAAGTAAATTTAATATAGAGTGACATGTGATGTGAATTCATGTTGTATGAATTTATTGCACAACATGCACATATATTTTTTCTTCTAAAATCAAAATATGTCCATTTAATTGAGGCCAAATTATTGCATAAAAAGTAATGACAAAACATCTTTCATTTTAAGAGTCAGATATATTTGTCACTTGTGCCAATTCTTCGACCATTTGGATAAGATCATTTTACAAACTCAACTCCTAAGAAAAATGAACCTATTAATTAAGCTCATTGCAAAAGTTCACGCACATCGCATCATATTTTTTTCTAATTCATCCAACTTTTTGTTAAGAAATTAAGGCCCCAAAAATGTATCGAAAATTGACTTATACTCTCATCCATCAATGATGTAAAATGTGACAAATGTTTTTTCTTTTTTCTTTTTTTATGACCAGGGTGTTTAGGTCAACTTACGTACACTTCAACTAATCTCTCGGTATCCTAGAATTATCGATCGGGTAAGAGCTCCAGTGGTTATCTTATTAGTAACTAGGAAGGGACTTAAACTAAGAACCTGACACGACCCTCCCTGTCCCATAGGCTCTGGGCACATCCATCAGACTCAAGTGACTGAGACGTGCCATGTGGAAAAACTATGAAACATGTTTATGAATTAAAACATTATAAAACTCTTCCAGCTAAAACATTTATAAACACTCTTTTTTGTTTCTCACAAATAAATATAACATCATTTGCAAATAAAGAAATGCAACTGAATTTTTACAAAATGAATGTATGGTATCATATTTTTCCATATCTTTTGCAATCCAAAACATAAAATAAATATATGATGAAGAAACATAAACTTAGCAGCGGAAAATAAAACACAACTATGACACATGTGATAAAATAAAGTCTTGTGGCCCAACCTTGAGTTAGATTTACTTCTTTGCACGATCTCCTTCCTGACCTGGGGGAGGGGGGAAAGAAAAACATTTAAAAATAAGGGTGAGCTAGAAATGTTCAATGAGTGAGGAATAAGTTAGTATGAAATAAAACATTTCAATATACAATAAAGCGTTTATTCTTATAAAATCTTGTTTCCATAAACACATTTTATAATATAAATCATCTTTCATAACCAATGCTGAATTCTCTCATCGCAAAACTTCTTTTTGAAAACTTTTATGGTAAACAAATCATATCATTTCTAAAAACATTTCATATATAGATAACATTTGCATTTATAAATTTTTATTTCAAATATATATATATCCAAACCATCTCTCAATCACATGTGAAAACTCTGACCCAACTAGTACTCAGGGGTAAATCTATCCAACTTGACAAGATCAAACAACGTGCGGGTTGAACCACTAAATCTATCCTACTAGGCGGAATAGGTCACCACTCAAGCCTTTGACCCAGCGAGACCATGCATCGCTCAGGTCGACACAATCATATCCTGTCTAGCGATATTTGCCTCGTTCAAGTCTTCGACCCAATTGAGCGGGCAAATAACCAATCATACACATGCGTAGAATCAAGTCAATAATTTGAGGGGATAGGTACTATAATGGTGGTTTGAAAACTACTATCATTAATATACATAACTTTAACTCACCATTTTTCATAAATCTCATGCCTTCATTCATAAAGAAAACATATAACATAACATTAAATTCTCATATGCAGTATAAGGCTAAAATGCAAGTTTTCAACATGATTTCATAATAACACTTTAGCCCAATTTTTGTATTATCAACAACAATTTCCCCAAAAACCTCAATTTCTCATGTAAACCAATAACCTTAGTAATGAATCATATTTATATAAAGAAAAATCACTAAACTATGGCAAATAGTAAACCAAAACAAACCATTTGAAGTTTATAACAAACATTTACTTCAATATGAAAATTCGGGCTTCGATTTTCCACTCACCATTTTGGAGCTCGACCCTTAAGCACAAAAAAAGATTGAAATCCTCTAACAATGACGCCGCTTGTCTCCCTATATACAAAATCTAATAAATCGTTCATACATAAGTCCCTCTAAGGTGAAACCTCAATATTAAAATCATTGGACATTTCACACACCAAAAGATCGATTAACCTAACTTCTTCTTTAACAAAACTGTCTCATAACAAAACATTGGTCGCTCTCAGATTTTTCATAAAAATTATATTCATCAATTTGAGCCATAATTTTAATGGGGCATTCTAGAGACACATAAGTTGTTCCTATTATTTTCTAAAGTCATTCCGGAATCAATAACTATTTAAAATACAATTTTCTTTCAACTCATTCAAAACTGTCAACTGTTTCTAGAATTGAGGTTACTGACTAGTAAGTTTTGTAACAATTTAACCTTTAATTGAAACCTCATGAAACGCTCTAGAATTAAACTAGACACGTATAGGATTCACCAGAATTTAAAAATCATTCAATTTGGATAAGAATAGATGCATCAAATCATTTTCCAAATATACATGTTCTGCAGAAAACGAAAGTTCCAGAATTCACAAGACAACTTAAAAAATCCATATAAAATTCAATTCTTCGAGTTTTTGAGTGAAATAAGTTTTCAAACACTCCCCAAGAAGTCTAGAACAACATATCCGAAATTCAGCTTAAAAACAAAAACCCAAAACATACCAACAATTTTCGGAATTCCAAATGGCCAGATTTTTGTACAGTTAACCCTTATATCAAAATCACATCTTTTAACAAAATTTTGTTTAGGAAACACATATATGTTTTACCCACATAACATTATTGAACTCAATCTTCCCATTTTAGTGTAATCTCATGCCATTACACTCAATTATAATCAACACAAATCAAATGAACTAAAACTCATCAATAAGGGGAATTTTAAGCTTTACTCATCTCTCATTCAGATCACCGGAGTTTTGTTCGCTGGCAGCCACTTTTCCAGCCACCTCCATAACTCTCTTCTCTCCTCTCCCACTCTATTCTCGGTTTCATGTTTCTCTCCCTTCTTTCTTTTCTTCTTCCTCTCCTTCTCTTCTTCTTCTCTCTTTTTCTTCTCTCCTTCCTCTCTTTTCTTTCTTCTTCTCCGTTTTTCTTTTCTTTGAATAATCATTGCTCATCACAATATTTGAAAACTTTCAAATTCTTATACTTTACCCCCCAGAATCACAAAATAAAATTTAATAAAATTCCATAAAAAAATATGAGGTATTACAAGACCTCTCGAATAATACATCAAATATGTAGTTTATTTCTTCTATGTATTACTAATTTATGAATCTAACTACCATTAATACATTGACAGACAATAGGTAATGAAACTAATGGGTTGTTTTGCATAATTGGAACATGAAATATATGTTATCTCTATGAACATATGGGATCCAATATGTACTTGTAAGAGACAAATTAAAGGCCTTAAAAAATGGATAAATGATTTGTGTTCATATGGGGATTATCAGTTGCATTTCTCAATTCTAATAATCTACATTTCAGTACTTGTAACTTCAGACAACTTGTTCTGAGATTTCCCAGCAAATTAAATTCTCTGGCTTTTTAAATCTATAAACGGTTTCACTTGTTATAGACAAATTTAAATCCGAGGGGGACAGCCGGGTTCCTAAATCAAGGTTATATCCTTCAAATTCAATCTTGCCTCACTCAATAACCTACCAAAGCTTCTCAAAATGATGACTCAATTATTTTCTCTAGGCTGGTTCTTTCTGGAGATTGGAGTTGCAGGTTTTATATTTTCGGCTGCAATCTTTTGTATTTTAGATTGCGAGAAACGAGTTGTGTAATTTTCTTATTGTGATCATAACTCATATCAAACCACCGAATGGTGATGAGAACTTTTTTCAGTGTATCATTTGAAAGCAGCGTCAAACTTATAACTAAAAGCAATAGGCCATATATGATATGTAGACAAATAGATATGGACATGAAAGTTTGTTTGCATGTGGGGTATAAGGTGGTAGAAAGGAAACAAGATGGCGGACCTCAAATGCCGAATCTCACATATACAAAAATGGTTCTTTTCTCAGGAAAATGACCAAAAGAAAACTTCACTGGGATCCCACTTCTTGCCAGCCCCCACCCGAATAGAGAAAGTATTGTCCCTCAAACACTACTCAACTTGAAGATGCATTGACTTACAAGAAATTTGAATATGCTGGAAATGAATTGTATTGCTCAACTGTGGAAATAATAAAATATTGGAGTGCCCACAATTTCAGGGACTAAAACATGTAGTAAACTTCGTGTTTGCGCGATGCAGTAAAACTAAACTAGGCAGTGATGGAAAAAATTGCTACTGAAGCTGAAAGTTGGTGATCAAATTATAAAGAGAAAAACCAGTTCCTATGCAGGAGGGTGCCCCTGAAACAAGAAAATTTTACAGTTAATATAACTGAGTGTATTTAAGTTGCTTTCAAACACTTTGCCTTTGAACCATTCTTTTGGATGCCCCGTGGCCATTCAGTGAACCCTTTCATTCCTTGAGTTATATGCGGATTCTCTGAGTCCGATGATACTAACTGCCCTACTGAATCTCGTTGCCGGAGCCTGCTGCACCAATCGACTGACTTTCTACGTGGAGAAGTTGTTCCCGCGCTAGAAACTGTCCCATTTGAAAGCCTTTCATGAACCTCATGTGATGTTATCTTGCAGAATTTGCCATTACTTGTTAATGATCTCCTAAATTTAGATACAGAAGATGCCTTTTGCCTTGGTTGTTTCCCCGACATTGAGCATACCTTGTTGATTTCTGTATTTTGAGAATCTTGAATTACTTTCTCATTGCATTCCATTTTGCACCTTGAAGCAAGTTGGCTTTCCTTAGCTCTGATAGCAGAGTGGTGACTCCCTTCAAATGAATATCTTGAACCTTGATCCTCAATATGACTTGCTGATGCCCATACTCTTACATCTTCTTCGAAACCATTGTTATGGTTATTGTTAAAAACATTTACCTCAGGACTTATAGCATCATAGTTCGAAGCATCGCCAACGGGATTATACTTGATCATCAACAGATCCATCTTCCTCTCATTAGCTTCAACTTGTCGATTTTCATCAAAAACAGAGAATATACCACTTGATTTTGGTGGCACATATTCAAATTCTTTTGTGTCTTGAAAATTCACTGATTTGACTGCCTGTATGATCAACTCAGCTTTTCTTAATTCAGTCTCATCCAAGTTCTCACTTCTTGACCTCAAAAAAAATTCAAGGTCAGCCAGCAAGTTATTCATCTGAAAATATTTATATTCAAGAGCCAATCTTGCATCAACTAACTTCATCTGGACACGTTCTTCACGCCAAACCTCAGCCAGCTGCAACATTCTCCTCTCTTCTTCCAACTCTTCACGAAATTTAAACGTTTCACTCTTCAACACTTCCATTTCAGTCTTGTCTTCTCCAATTTTGTTAGCCAGTTCATTACAAACTTCCTCCATCAGCTCTCTGGCCATTTTTTCTTCCTCGTAATCTTTCATGAGCTGCTTTTCAGACGACTTAGAGTTAGCCAGCTCCTTGACCAATTTAGAGTTGATAATGTCTATTCTTTCTCGGCTTTTCATTCCCACGCTTAATTCATCCTTTAAGTTGTCAATAATTGCACGCATTTTATTGTATTTGCTCTGCCATGAGTTTCTTTCTCCTCCAAGCTTTCCCAATAAGTGTTCAAATTTCATCTTAGAGGACCGAAGCTCATCTTCAAGCCCATGTATCCGTAACCGAGCCTGTGATAATTCTGCTTGCAGTGCAGAAACAACAGACAGAGTATTAAATTGACCTTCAAGAAACTTGGTATGGCTGTACAAGCAATTAGGCTCAGTGGATGTTGTCGAGCACCTGGGTTCCCACTTTGTTGCCCCTTCCATTGCTGACTTGGGATATGGCAAAGAAGATGCACGCTAGAAATTTTTTGAAGCAAAAAGAAACACAATTAGAAAATTGATAACGTGAATCAGTGAATCTATAGGATGAGAAAGGAAGCAATACTTTTAAAACCAAATTTCTAATTATCAGGCAATTCTAAGTTGGACAATTGAACATCAGCTGATGCACAGGACAGGACAGGATATTAAAAACTACTACTTTACCATCGTTTGAACACAACTAGCATAGCATAAATTTGTCAAACCAAATTTCAAACAAACAACTTTCTTGTAAACTAGGGAAATGGTATATGGTTGTAGAGGGCGGATCCTAACCAACCTACTTTCGTTTAGGCCACAAGCTAAACTATCTAGTAACCAACCATGTTGATTATCTTCCTCTAGAATGCGAAGAACGGTCGAAAATTATAATCTCCTAAGAAAGAAGAAGGCACACCTTATGCTGGACTTTATGGTTTGGAGTACAACCGGGTAGAGGGCTCTGCTGCAGATGCTTAGTTCCCGGAACATATTCTCCGCTAGTGCGACAGAAAGGAAGCACTTGCTTTACATGTCCAGCACGAGGCTGCAGGAAAGAACATGACAAGGGTTTAAAATTCGGAAAATGTTTAAAGAAAATTGAAGTTTAAATTTTTTGACAGCATAAAATAGAAATCATGCCAATTCCTACTCCAAGAATATGTAAACAAGTAAATCGACTGAATCAAGCCATTAATTTGAAAGTTTTCTCTAAGCACTTGCAGAGATTCTGTAAAACTGCATTATTCCCATGTCCCGAATGGAGATGTGAACAGAAACATATAATTTAAGCGTAATGCGCTATTCATGAATTATGATTTCGGAGAAGTTAAAACTCTGTTCCTCAACTCCATCAACATAAATTAACATCAAGCTCCCAAGAAAATGGTGTTTTATGTCTTCTTATGTCCCAATTTTCTCAGCATCCAAACACATAATTACTACAAGCTAGCATTGCCCAACACAGTTCTGTAATCAAACCATTCCCAAGAAAAAACAATTCTTTAAATTTCCCACCATTTTCCCGGCAACCAAACACAGCAGACATCACAGTTACTCAAAAAGGCCATATATCTACACGTACCTGAGCCAACAAACGCAATTGCCAGAGCCCAGCAGCCAATTTCCTGGCCGACATCTCAACGCCTCCGCCGCCCCTGGAGGCGCGTTGTTTGTCGTCAAACTTCCAGTGAACGAGCGGAGTCAATGGAGACCTGTGCCTCCGACGGCGGTAACCATTTGGTGGTTTCCTGAATTTGGCACAGTGAGACTGAGGGCCAAATGGGACATTCATTTTTTGTCTCTCCGCTAAAAGTGTCATTCCAAATAGAGTGAGACAGAGTGAAGTTCGGACAAAAGTGCTGGAATTGCGGAGCTTTTGCCGCGTGGACTGAAACTAAGTTCACTGCAAACCTTGCAGTGCTGTAATGTTACGTAGTGAATGTACTTCGGTATTTGTGCTGTAAGGAATATTGATAATTTCGCAGATCCCTAATCTATATTTTATGACCCAAAGATCCCTATAAATATAATATGATTTGAATAATCAAAATAAAGTTCCTTTGGAGATTGCTTGCTAGTTTTAAATAGGATTATTATCTCACAACATTTTGGGGGTATTCCGACCATTTACATATACTTTAACTAATTTTTCAGAACTTCGAAATTAACGATTGAGTAAAGTCTATAGTATCCACTCCTATTAACAAATTTGAAACTCTTTTGAAGATACGATTGGTAACCTATGACTGAGCCCGATCAATATTCTTCCTTTTGGTTCACCGAACCAATTACTTGTACTTAACATTCAATAGATTACCAAANGTCATGAATGAGAGAAAAATTCACAAGTACCGATGTATAAGAGTAGAAACACTAAGTTTCACATTTAAACCCTGGCGTCTAAGCAACATCTTTTTCACTGGACACTAGTGTCCCAAGTCCTAGAACATGACTCTACTTCCATGCTTCCCTTATGTTTACCACTCTTCTTTGCATCCCTACAAAACCTGTGAATATGTGAGCATAACTCAAATTTATAGCATAAGCACATATGTAAAGAATTATTACTTATCAAATACTTATTGAGTAGGGAAATATGTTTATTTGTGTCTAAGCAAACCCCAAATCGATAATCACTTGAAATGTCTAATAATGCTATTTGTTTTTTCTTTCAGTTAGAGGAGCCATTTGACATTGATTTTTAATGGAATATAGTGGATCTTAGATTTGGTACTAAAATAGTTTTACCGTATCTAAATTTACAAAAAATATATATTGTTATAAGAATATTTCTTTATGATGGTTTCTGAAATCCTAATTTACAGTAGTCGTTCACCATGAGAGTCATACACTGCTTGCTTAAATCACTTGATCTGATATTAACCGTTAGCATCTGGTAGTTGCCCATAGACACCAAGCCAGTAGCTTCTATCAACGCAAGCATTTGAATTTTCCAAGCATACGAACTTTCACTTTTTTCCCTTCAATTTATTGATTTAGGACTTGAAATATCATGGGTCAACCTTTGATTATGAGCATTGCCATTTCCCTGTTGTTAACTTTAGCTCCAAAACTGGAATTCTACTTGTAAGGTGCTTTTACAACTGGATATTGCAATTATCTTAGGAATCCTTATGTTGTTGCAGGTTTCCATGAATCTTGTTGCAGTCAACTATATAATCTTAAAGATCCTGTATTGATAAACAAACAAGGAGATGCCCTTTTGCCCGAGATTTCTCCTGCTGCATCTCCTCAGCCCTATCTTCCTCTTCTTGCCCCCTCGCCATTGGAACCCTTCACAAATAGTACTGTCCCAAAACTATCAGGTTTGTCTTACAGGGCCTAATACTGCTGGTTCTCAAAGCCACAGGTTGAAATTTATACTAACATTTTGCTCTTGATGCCGTTTCTTCTTGCAGGACACTGTACGTTAAACTTCAGTGCAGCCGAAAGCTTGATGACCATGACTTCAACTGATTGCTGGGCGTTTTTGGCCCCATTGTTGGCTAATGTAATGTGTTGTCCACAGCTAGATGCCACTCTTGTGATTCTTATTGGTCAGTCCAGTAAAGAAACTGATGTGCTTGCTTTAAACAAGACCCTTGCTGAGCATTGCCTCTCTGATATTGAGCAACTTTTGGTGGCCCAGGGTGCTTCTGACAATCTTAAGCAGATATGTTCTATTCATCCGTCGAACCTCACTGAAGCATCTTGTCCTGTCAAAGGTGTCGATGAGTTTGAGAGCGCTGTGGATTCCTCTAAACTCCTTTCTGCCTGTGAAAAGATTGATCCTGTGAAAGAATGTTGTGAGCAAGTTTGTCAGAATGCCATATCAGATGCTGCTACAAGAATTGCACTTAAAGCTTCTGATCCCTTGAGCATGGGCGGGCCCAATGTTCTACCTCAACACTCAACTAGAATAAATGATTGTAAAACTGTTGTTCTCCGATGGCTGGCCAGTAAACTTGGTCAGACTCGTGCAAAGGAAGTTCTCAGAGGATTATCTAATTGCAATGTTAATAAAGGTCAGCATGTAGTGAAATATGGATATAGAAGCGTAATTTTGATCAGAAAGTATCGATTCATGAAACTGTAGATAATCAATGGGGATTCCTTAAATGATGTTCTATTTGTTTGGCTCTCATATGGGTTTTCCAGATTATTATTCAGATGTTCAATCATTAAAAGCTCACAATTCCAATACTTGTGAGTATTTAGACGAATATAAAGATGTGATTGGGTATGCAGACAATACTAGACCTTTTGATATTCTTTTTGTGTCTGTGTCCATATCCAACCATATCCTTGCTAGTTTTCGTCACGTGATTGATCAGTTATTCATGGCCATGAGAGGCTCTAGGTTATTGTTATTATTTGTATCTGGGATTTCTTTATGAAGGATTAAAGTTTTCCATTTTTTTCCTACTGTGTCCTTTCGTGTGTTTGGACTAGGTAGTAATTCATGTTTGCTCTCCTTATTTTCTGTATTATTTTATTCAGTGATGCCAATCTGTTCACTTGATCCAGTTGAGTTTGTATTTCATAGTAATTTTCTTTTGATTTCTGCTTCAGTTTGCCCTTTGGCATTTCCCAACACGAAGCATGTGGCAAAGAGCTGTGAAAATCCTATTATTAACCAGACAGCTTGCTGTACTGCCATGGAGAGCTATGTATCACACTTACAGAAGCAGAGCCTCATTACCAACTTGCAAGCTTTAGATTGTGCTACACTACTAGGAATGAAGTTGCAAAAGTCAAATATAACAACAGATGTTTATAAACTCTGCCACATAAGTCTCAAGGATTTCTCTTTACAAGGTCAGTCCTTGGAGCTGTTTCATAATATCCCTTGACAACCAAATTAAAGATTTTTTTTTTCAGATGCATAAAGCTGTTACTAATGCATAACACTTGTCATTTTGCTATTTTGGTGGTGGTCCTGGGGATTGACAATATGATTGCAGCCGCTGGAAGTCAAGGTGAGATGCATACTTCATGTTTTATAATTTCACATAACAATGTTGTATAGTTCCAGTTAGGTCAGCATAGGTTATTTCCAATTAGAATTTTAGGCTTGTCAATGTTTATTATTGCATTGTTGAATTAAGTTTGAATCCGCACACCTGATGTCGTGCCAATGCTAGTGATAACAGCCACAATTTGTACACTGGCCATAATCAATCCTCCTTGGGCACAAAAGCATTGAAACTAAACCTCCTAGCACCTGTATCTATAGTTTCTTAGTTTTGCAATGTAGATATGTGGAGTAGGAAGATTAGAATATAACCTTTTATTGCACTTTTTTTTTAACTTCTATTGGGTTTTTAATAACCTGCATTTTTCTATCCTTTTCTACAACAGAGTCTGGATGCCTCCTGCCAAGCTTGCCTTCAGATGCAACATTTGACAAGTCTGGGATCAGCTTTATTTGTGATCTCAATGACAATATTCCAGCCCCGTGGCCTTCTTCATCTCAGTTACCAGCTCCATCATGCAATAAAAGTATGTTCTAGTGATAACAAATTGGATAACCAATATCCAGAATCCAATTGATTTTCTTTAATGATTACACAATTATCGCTTGGAGTTATTATTCACTCTGCAAATTATTTATTTATTTTGACTTGTGGTATGCAGCTATAAGGATTCCGGCACTTCCGGCAGCTGCATCTGCACAAAGTGGTAATTATATACGTACCATCTTCTTCTTGTGCCTTTTTTTTTTTTTTTTTTCTTTAAACTTAGATGCCAATTGACCATCAGAGTGAGAAATGAACCATAGTTGCTCCTATCACGTATGCTTTAATTTTTAGTTAACATTGAACCAAGTTGGCTACTACTATGTAAGTTAAGAAATCAAGAAATTAAAACAAGGAATAAGTTTATCATGTGTAAGAAAAAACGAGAACTCAGGAACTTTACGATGATATATCATTTGTCTTAAAATTATATCACTCATCATGTGTTTTTTGGGTAAAAAATAGAGAACTTTGTGTAAAATCTGTACAATGATTTCAGTAAGATTTCGGGAAATTCAATTCCTGGTGATGAATCGGGTTCAGGCTTGTTGCAAAGAATCCAATAGGTATCAAACCTGCCTATCCATTTGAATCAAAACATTATCTTGTAGTACAATGTATTAAAGTGAGACTAGGGATCAGCTGTAGTGTTTTTCATTCAAGGGTTTAAACATGTATCATTCCATCTGCATACTAGGAAGGAAATTTACATTTAAATATGTATGGTTATGGTCGAAAACTTGGAATATTGCATGTGCACCAATTCATTTCAACCCAATGACTGTTAATAACTATGCCCTCACGATCTGAAAAGTACATGAAGACATAGATGGATGTGAGGTGACATTTAATTGCAGAACAGAACAGTTTCTTAAGATGATAGCTTCTACATATACAGTCTAAGCCTCCCGACATTTCTTCTCTCTCGGTGATGTCCTCCCGTCTTAAGTACAAATAACTATATCTTCAGAGTTAAAGAGCAAGCATTGTCTGTACGTGATATATATACTTGGAGTGTTAAATTTTCAGTGTGTTGTGATTCTTACTTAATGGTTGCTTCTGCTTTACATCATTTTTTTTCATGTGTAACAGGTCTTTATAATGAAGATTTGAAATTTTATCAACTCTTTGCTTCCTCGTTGATTCTCTTGATGCTCATATAGTTTTGATGAACGCCGTTCCTGCTTATTTTCTACGTTAGAATCTTTTTAGTCACTGCCAATACAATTCTCTCAATCCTTACAATACAAGGATTTATAATTGGATGATGAGTTATATGTCAAAAGTTCTATCATCTCCCAACACGTCTTAAGTTAATTTAGTTTGAAGAGTAAGAGTACCTGGTTTTGGAGTTAATTTGTGTTTTTGATAGCATATTAATTCTTGATTCTTGCATGCTTTTTGTAATAAATTCTTTGTAAATATATATGTATCAGTAAAATGAAGGAATGTTAATATCTGCTACCATTTGACTATGCCATGTATAGTTTGTTCCAGATTTATTTCAAGCTCAATCTTCCCAGGATATGTTCTAGATTTCAACTTTTACATTGATATTTTTCTTTATTTTTTTTCTTATTCTTTGTTTGTACTTAACATGTGTTAGGTACAATTCCATTGTTTAACAAATTACTTGAAAAACAGCTTCTGATCAGTGTATTTTGGAATTGTAACACAAAATCACTAGTAAACCGATACTGCATGTTCAGGTTCACAGTTACTCAGAGATGACAATTAGCAGTACTAGCTGCAGGCACTAATCTATAGCATTGTGTAAATATATTAAAGTTGGTAATAGTGGCAGAGAAACTCTAGGTGCATTTGTTTCGTTATTTTGGATAGGATTTTGGGAATAATATTGGGTAGTTGAATAGAGTGAGTATTACGAGATTTAAAAATTAACAAAAAAATCTCCTGAGTGCGCTAATTTAACTAAACATCTCAATATATAAAAATTTTATAAAATGAAAAAAACACCCCCATCCACCCATAGTGCTAGATTCTGGCCACCACGGATGGAATCTGGCCTGAAAATGGCATTACAATGCAGATCGGTCAGATCTGGCCGGTCGTGCGTTGATATGGCTTTTTTCGGCCAGATCTACGGCAAGATCTGGCATTTTTCAGCCATATTCATTGTAGATTTGACCGAAAAAGGCCAAATCGACGAATTACCGGCCAATTCTGGTCGTTTTTACGCTGTTGTAACAGATTTCGGCAATCGTTGACTATCATTGTTGAAACCTAGCAACTATGGGTGGGTGGGGTTGTTTTTGTTAAATTTTAAACTTTTTTTTCAGGGGTGTTTAATTAAATTAATAAACTTAAGGGGTCTAAAAGTAATGTAAGAAATAAAATAGTATTTCCCAAATAATTAAACTAACATGTATTTTGGGAATAGGATAGAGAATAATAAAACAAACGCACCCCTCAATATCCATATGGGTTTCAGAGGAGAAGAATAGTAAGTGAGAATAATGATTAAAATGAGAAGCCTTTAATAGCTGAGGTACCAACTATAAGGTGTGTTTGGTTGGAGGTAATAGAGGATTACTAAGGTAATGTCATCTTATATTACTTAATTACCACACTTGATTATCAAGTAATATAAGATTCCGATAATCTTTCAAAACTAATAATAGTTAGTATTGGTAACATAGAAGGTAATCTGATTACCTCCATTTTTTTAGGTATTTTAAGATTATTTAGTAATCTTATTTTTGTTATAATTTTACCCCTTAGAGTGCGTTTGGATCGGGGTCATATAAGATAATGGGGTAATCTTCGTTTATTTTGTAAGATTCCAGTATTTGGTTTGCAAATAATAAAATATTATATAAATCTTTTATTGCAAATAGTGTTTATTATTGGTAATGTCGGGGATAATCTAATACCCTCACCCACCCTTGGGATTAAAACATTATCGGGTAATTTGATTTTTATACCTATTTTGCCTTTAATTAAATACCATTTTGGACACAATTGCCCTCAAATGTCTACCAAATAACAATTAGCTTAGCCCCTACATTTGAGCTCTGTTTTAAAACCCGAACCGGATTGGCCGATTCAACCAGGACTCGGCCTTAACTTCGATCTGAGTTAACATAAAAACCGAAAATAATATAAAATCCGCTTTGGACCAGTAATAGACCAATGAAATAGTACAACATTGTCGGTCTGATCAGCCCGGAGTTTAAAACGGTTCACCATTTTGGGGTTAATCTGATCCCTAATTCCTAAACCAGATTTGCAGCTGTTAGTGTATATTAGTGTATGCCTTAGAAACCATTCGTGTTGTCGGTTTTAGAGCATTTTGTCTTGTATGTATATATCATAAATAATAGAAGAAAGAGTTCTTTAATTCATATATATAAATTGCTTCCTTAATTTAGTCATGCATTTAAAATAAAGTATGTATATGAATTATCCAGATGATTCATTTAATCGGTAAATGAATTATCGAAAAGGGNATGCAAAAACTTAATTAAGTGAATAAAATGTTTTTTAAATGCTAATCTTACAATAATAAGATAGCCAACCCCACTATTAATTAACTCTTTGAAAATCTACACTTATAGATAAATCAATATTTAAAAAAAAAAATTCAGATAAAGATGGGTTGATTTGATCTTTTTACACACACACGTGGGAAAAAATTGGTCAAGCCACCACTCTCAAAGGTTCAATCTTAAACGTTTCTATCATGGGCCAAATTATTATTTTATAAATAAATGTATTTTTCTATTTTCGATCCCTGTTACACAAGCTTGTTCCTGATAATTTTTGTTCAAAAATATTATGTTGTGTCAAAGTCTTACATTGGTTGATAGACGAGAGTCTTGGTCGCTTATATAGCACAAGAACACTATTACCACTTAGAGATACATTTTTAGGATAAAATCGTACAGACTTTAAGACTCAAAGCAGACAATACTTTTGAGAACCCACCTATCATGTATTTGAATCCGACATACTCAGACGTTCGAATATGAAATATATCACGCTCAGACATAATATGGATCTGGCCATTCAAACATAATATGAATCCGACACGCTCAAACGCTTGGATATAATATGTATGTGGATAGACTCTTTCCTCCCTTGAATACACGTGGTATTCATAAATAAGACAGTTTTGTTTCATTTTCTTTTGGGATAATAATATTAGCGGCCAAAGTAGTCTTGAAGCTTATCTTTTCTTGGTCATCCTAAACACAAATTAAACGGGTGACTAATTTAAGAAGTTTTCTAGAGTTATAAGCAACTCCATCGATTTGACTAGCTCTAGGCATAACGTAGTACATAAAGTTTGAAGATTGAACTAGTAAAATTGTTGAATATACTGTATAGTTCTGTCATGGGCAAAGATATTTTTAGTTTTGAATACTATTAACATACAATTAATTCAAACTAATTAATAAACCATGTGTTATTTTCAATCAAACTTACTCTCAAGTACGAAATTGACTCGATGTAAATTGAGTGTAATACACTTATCGAAAATCTTCTTTCCCCACTTTCTATGTCACTTCACCATTGTTTGATAAGACAAGACCCTTCAACAAATTTTCTAAATGCCTTCGTCATTCATTGTAGCTTATACTGTTAGTTTTAGTTTGTTTTTTTAGCGACATTTAGAAAGCTCACACCTCCAACTGCCGAACATGAATAATCTTTTTCTTTTATTTTTTATTTCTGTGGTGACATCTTCTCAAGTTTTAGTTTCGATTTCGGTGTGCCTTGATCCCAATGTTTCTGATATTTCAGTGGGCTATAATATTGTTGATTCTAACGTACGTAAATTCTATTCTTGAATAAAAAATATAAGAAAATTCATGATGTTTACGTATGTTACCTGATGTTACCTCATGTTAAATCAATATAGATATGCATGAACCACTAGTAGGTGACTTGATGTACAAAAAGAGATTTTATAAGCTTTTAAGTTCGAGTCCCTTAAGACACTAATAAGGATAGCTATTAGGACTCTCCTGGTCGATAGTTCTAAAGTTTTAGAGGATTAGTTGAGGGTATGCGTAAAATGATCCGGACATCTCTGATGATTAAAAAAAAAAAAAAAAAAATACACATACATGCATGCAAAACAGCTTGTATTGTATCAAGAGAATTATGAAGAAATAAACCAATCCAACTTCACATTGAAGGAAAGGAAACTTAGAGTACAGGATAATTTAAAATTTTAAATGTTTCAAAGAATTATAAACTATGGATTAACGAATATATAATTTTATGTAGGTGGTGGATTGATTAATTAATTAATTAACAGCAATCAATTAAGAAGAATTGAACAAGAAGGAACCTTGATTGCTTCTGAAAATTTGGCGTTTGATTAACAAAACATCTACACATTTTTTGTTTATGTAAATTAATCTGTTGATGATGAAGATATATGAAAGGAAATGTGAATAGCAGTGAGAAAGGAATCAAAGGTTAAGAAAATAAGTTAAGGTCATTTATCAAAGATGGGGTAAGGGGAAGGTGAGAATAAATCAAAGAAAGTCAAGGATTCCCTTCCCATGTCTTTGTTCACACTTACAGATTATGCCACCTCTTAATCCATTTCATACTCTTCTTCTTCTCCACTTTTCTCTCCTTTTGCATATGCTAGCCAGCTGGTCAACCCCCTCTATAAGTTATTGCTTCAAGCCACTCCACACGCTGAGTACACTGAACCACCCATATCCACCGTCCCACGTCACGAGTTTAAATCTCAAAACCTAGAGTTACATATTGGAGCCGATTAAGTTTGTTGACATCATGAATGATCAGATCAGCAGCTCGATCCCGTGGGAAAACCTAGCCGCTAGCCGTTCAATATTTTTGGTCAACTAACCAAACTCTTAAATATTTCCACGTAAGACCAAATCCTACGTAGCAAATCCATATAATACTCTTAAATATGTAATCTTCGTGGAAGTTGGCTAAGGCTAATCATCATCTATTTGTGTATATATAAACAGATTGAATCAGTTTCGAAATCTCTTCTTTCTCACAAAAGAATAAATAAATATTAAAATAAACTTCAAATCTCAAATGGGAAATTGTATTAGGCGTGAGTCATCAAACATGGTGTGGGCTGGCGATGATTGGGAGTTCTCCTCAAGGGGTAGAGTAATGGATGATATTGATGATGATAAGCATGGTGAGCGAAATGCCGGCGATGTTAACGTAGAGAAGCGGAGGCTGCTGAGTGAAAAGGGAGGGTTTTCGAGTTCGAGTTCGTTATCGTCGTCGTCTCCATCGACGCGGGAGGTGAAGATAAAGATTTCGAAGAAGGAGCTGGAGGAGTTGGTGCATAGAGTTGACATGCAAGGTTTGTCTCTTAAACAAGTCTTGGAAAAGTTGATTGATGCTAATATCGATCATCATCATCATCTAGAGCACCAACGGTCATGGAGGCCGGTCTTACAGAGCATTCCAGAGGTTGATTAATTAATTAATTAACCAATGAGTTGTTCAATTGTATTGTACATGTTAAAAGTTAAAAACATTAGGCTATGATCTGGAGATTTTATTGTACAGAAGTTCTTATCGTCTCCATATTCTTGTTTCACATTTCTTGAGTTGTAAATTTATTGTATTTGTACTCAATCAAGTTCCATAGCCAATTCATAATTTCTCTTATTTGGGGTGGCCACGGGACATGGATCCGGCATATCGAACCGGGGTAGACTCTTTCCTATAGATTTTTTTTTTTTTTTTTTCCTTGTAACCGAGGGCGTCCGACAGGCACGTAGCACATAGATAGTTGTGGGTTCAATTTAACCCACTAAATTTTTTTAAAATTTCAGAAAAAGATTAATATTTTATAAATTTTATAATTTTAACCCAATTTAATTTCATATTAATCTCATGAATTATTAATTAACTATTTTTTAACTTTTCTCTCTTCTTAATTTTCTCTCATTTTCTCTCATATTATATTTTTCCTTTGGTTAAATACTCAAGAAAGGTCACTCTTTTGGATTACGAGATAAGATAATGCTCATTTTATTTATTTATTTATTTTTTACTTAAACTTCTTTTCTTTTAGCTTTCTTAATTGATGAAAGATCATGAACTATGAATTTTTGTTGAGTTTAATAAATGAGTTTGAAATCGGAAAATTAAATTACTAAATTTTAATGTGGGTTTTGATTTAACCTTGTTTATGTTGATGTATGAGTTAATTAATTGTTGTTTTAAGTTGAGTTTGATAAATTTTGGCTAGTTATTGATTTAGTTTAGAATGGTTTTAAAGAATTAATAAAACCCTAAATTGTAGAGATTTGGAGATTATGCAATGTTTTTAGAATATGAAAAAACGTCGAGGACAATTGTAGAATTGATAATTTGGTATATATAACTTTTAAAAGTACATTTTTTTATGCTTATTACTTCAGTATATATTTTATTGTAAAATTATCAATTTTGATGTTTTGAACCCACTGACTCATAATCCTGGCTATGTCCCTAGTGTTCAGACTAGCTTGCATGCATCTCAACTAATCTCCTGAGGTCCTGAAGTTAATAGCCAGATAAATCCCCTTAATGGTCACCCCTATTAGTAACACAAGTTGATCAAACTCAGGACCTCTTGAGTAATACACCTAAAAGTCCTAGTTGATTGTTAGATCACCCAATNTTTGTGTATATATAAACAGATTGAATCAGTTTCGAAATCTCTTCTTTCTCACAAAAGAATAAATAAATATTAAAATAAACTTCAAATCTCAAATGGGAAATTGTATTAGGCGTGAGTCATCAAACATGGTGTGGGCTGGCGATGATTGGGAGTTCTCCTCAAGGGGTAGAGTAATGGATGATATTGATGATGATAAGCATGGTGAGCGAAATGCCGGCGATGTTAACGTAGAGAAGCGGAGGCTGCTGAGTGAAAAGGGAGGGTTTTCGAGTTCGAGTTCGTTATCGTCGTCGTCTCCATCGACGCGGGAGGTGAAGATAAAGATTTCGAAGAAGGAGCTGGAGGAGTTGGTGCATAGAGTTGACATGCAAGGTTTGTCTCTTAAACAAGTCTTGGAAAAGTTGATTGATGCTAATATCGATCATCATCATCATCTAGAGCACCAACGGTCATGGAGGCCGGTCTTACAGAGCATTCCAGAGGTTGATTAATTAATTAATTAACCAATGAGTTGTTCAATTGTATTGTACATGTTAAAAGTTAAAAACATTAGGCTATGATCTGGAGATTTTATTGTACAGAAGTTCTTATCGTCTCCATATTCTTGTTTCACATTTCTTGAGTTGTAAATTTATTGTATTTGTACTCAATCAAGTTCCATAGCCAATTCATAATTTCTCTTATTTGGGGTGGCCACGGGACATGGATCCGGCATATCGAACCGGGGTAGACTCTTTCCTATAGATTTTTTTTTTTTTTTTTTCCTTGTAACCGAGGGCGTCCGACAGGCACGTAGCACATAGATAGTTGTGGGTTCAATTTAACCCACTAAATTTTTTTAAAATTTCAGAAAAAGATTAATATTTTATAAATTTTATAATTTTAACCCAATTTAATTTCATATTAATCTCATGAATTATTAATTAACTATTTTTTAACTTTTCTCTCTTCTTAATTTTCTCTCATTTTCTCTCATATTATATTTTTCCTTTGGTTAAATACTCAAGAAAGGTCACTCTTTTGGATTACGAGATAAGATAATGCTCATTTTATTTATTTATTTATTTTTTACTTAAACTTCTTTTCTTTTAGCTTTCTTAATTGATGAAAGATCATGAACTATGAATTTTTGTTGAGTTTAATAAATGAGTTTGAAATCGGAAAATTAAATTACTAAATTTTAATGTGGGTTTTGATTTAACCTTGTTTATGTTGATGTATGAGTTAATTAATTGTTGTTTTAAGTTGAGTTTGATAAATTTTGGCTAGTTATTGATTTAGTTTAGAATGGTTTTAAAGAATTAATAAAACCCTAAATTGTAGAGATTTGGAGATTATGCAATGTTTTTAGAATATGAAAAAACGTCGAGGACAATTGTAGAATTGATAATTTGGTATATATAACTTTTAAAAGTACATTTTTTTATGCTTATTACTTCAGTATATATTTTATTGTAAAATTATCAATTTTGATGTTTTGAACCCACTGACTCATAATCCTGGCTATGTCCCTAGTGTTCAGACTAGCTTGCATGCATCTCAACTAATCTCCTGAGGTCCTGAAGTTAATAGCCAGATAAATCCCCTTAATGGTCACCCCTATTAGTAACACAAGTTGATCAAACTCAGGACCTCTTGAGTAATACACCTAAAAGTCCTAGTTGATTGTTAGATCACCCAATAGTGATTTTTCCTTTAGAATTTGGGTTTAAGTTTCTTCATAAACACCTGTATAATTAAAAGACATTGTTTCTCACTTCTTAAAGGAAAATACTACGTTTACTGATTTTGCATACCGATTGATGTGAAGTGCGACATAGGGAGTCCTCAGTCTAACACGTCACATTCCATATCAGTCGAGACGAGGAGTTGGTATGCAAAATCGGTAAGTGTAGTCTTACCTCTTTTAAAAAATTACTGATTATGAAAAATTACAGTTTTAAATAAAGATCCGAAGAGTGAGTTTAGAGATCTCTGAATGTAAGTGGCATTAATATGGGGAGATTAGTAATAATGCCAAACTATATGGCCTTCTTTTAATTATACAAAAATCAGGGGAGGTACAAATTTGCTCAAAGATCAAATAAGTCTGAAATCAGGGAAAATTTTGTTGTGTTTAATACAGAAGACAAAGAAAGAGCAAGCTTTAAATGCCCAAGTAACTAACACCAGAAGAAAGAATAAATAAGCAAACCAAATCTCACACCTGTCAACCATGGCCAACCGACTAGTGGATGAAGATGAAAGGTATAATCACATATGGGTCCCTAATATTTAACTCCATACCAACTAAAATGAAAAAAAATAACACTTTAACCCCTATCAGCAAATTCTTTGCTCTTTAACTGAGAGTCTGAGAGGGCATAAAGTGTTACTTTCTTGGTTTTAGTGGACCTATATGTGATTCTCCTGGAAATTGAAATGAATTAGAGAGAAAGAAAGGAAAGGCAATTGATGAATGATGGCGTTAATGCAAGCAGTGGTTATATCTGAGTTTTAAGCCTCAGTAGGGTCCACTCACAGCTATTTCTGGTGCTGCTTTTGGGTCCCACTCACTTTGAGCTCATTCATGGCTTCTCTACTACACTCTCTCTCTCTGTTCATAATCATGTCTTTTATGCTTTTATCTCTAACCCACTACACTGTCCCTTCTCTCAATTTCAAGATAGGAGCTTGTTAACGTTTCTTTTAACTGTTTCTTTCCCCTTTTTTTGTTTCATTTTGTGTTTGGGTACTGTTTTTGTTTTGGAAGTTCAATAAAAAAGTGAACTTGGGGAGGCATGAGTGAAGGGGTGTCTCTGAAGCTCAGTCACAACATGGTTCTTCTACTTGTGTTTCTGTTGCTTTTATGTAAGTATTCAGCTCTTATTTCTTGTTTCCCTTTCTGGGTTTTGTTTATTGTGTTGTGATCTGTTGGTTTTACTGTGAATTTGTCTTTGGTTTTGTGTTGAATTTAGTGTTTCAAAAAAATGGGGTTTTCTTGTGTTTGAGAATTGGTGTATGTTGGGTAAAGCTTCTTGATGTTTTTGCCAGGAGAGTTACTGATTTTAAGTTATTGTTTACTGTAGTGCGGTGTGGTGCCTTGTGTTAAGCTTGTTCGACTCAATTATTCTGCATTACTGACACTAATAATTTACTTTTATTGTTAGGATTTAGGGCTAGGTATCTTAGTTAAGCTGTGAATTAGCTTTGTTTAATGTTGTGCTTGATCGGATTCCACTCTTGTGTCCATAAAAGAAGAAATAAAAGACGTTAAGGTGGCTGAATGTGTGAGATTATTCAATGTAAACTACCTCTTCAAGCTTTTCAACTGTATATATGTATCGGTTGCTTGCCATTACATTTACATACCTCATGCTGCAAGCTGCTTTTTTTTTTTTTTTTTTTTT